GTCTACGGTCCAAGTCGTGTTGACTCTTGGTTTCCAATGATGATAATCGGTCAACCTGCAAATCTGGATTGCTAGACGCCGCTTGCATATTTGAAACCTTGGTTCGTAACTCATCTGCTTCAGATTTGGACGACTGTAGAGATTGTTTTAGATCCTTGATTTCAGTTTCGTATTGACGTATTGTTGCCTCCAAAATCGCTAGTCTGGTCTGCGTGTTGGGCTCTGAACTACATCCCCGTGCATTTAAGTCATGGATGTCGGGATTATGGTCAACTGGTTCGTGCGGCGGAGAATCATCTGCATTTCCATGGGCATTACCAATATCTAGAGAACCCCCATCTGTGTCACTGTTTGTAGTGTCATGGTCGTTGTGTTCTGAAACACTGTCTTCTACAAAATCATCATTGTTGGATGTGCATTGGTTCTCTGTGGATTCATACCAATTCAGTACGGCTTTTTCTTTTGATGAAGGTTCCAATGGTGTGATATGAACATCTTTTATGGGAATGTCCATTATTGCAATATTTCGTAGCGACTCCGATAATGTACGTAGATTCCATCGCTGAAATCTTGGGAATGCGCATTCTCTGGCAGGGCTTACAATGTTCGTTCGTTCGCAAAACCAAAACTGGGTATAATTTTAGAGCATTGGTTAGCACACCGTTCAATGTAGATAGATTATATTGTACTACGCAGACATAGTTAACTCAATATTACTTAGTAGGTGACGCATGTATAATGCGTGTTTGAAACAAAAGAGGAAAAACTTACCAATAGTAATGCTATGTAACCCTTTACATCGATTGCTTTGTCTTTTCGTACGCTGCTCATGAAGTACTCTGTTATAGCTTTCCCCCAGTTGTATTGACGCATCATATCAATATCTTCGCAATACTTAAATCTCCACCACCCCACGAGAAATCCACTTGTTACGAAGAAGAAGTTGGTCACCAAATACAAAATGATTAGTCTTACAACATCCTCAACACTCTCTTGGTTCTCATTACCAATGAACTTCATCAGCTCTGTTTTGAGATATTTCCGTTTCAATTTCACGTGGTCGCGGAATTTACGTTCACGAGGTTTGCTAGATTTGTTGGTGTTGATTTCAATGTGACAGGGGTTTATACCAAAGATCAATTGGCATTCCTCTGGGGTAATGGTTATCTCTTCCCCCCAATAATGAATTTGTCTTTTTTCTTGTCAAATGCCAAAAGTAATTGTGCAGTCCCAATTTGTGTGCACTTGACAAACTTGGCATCGACTTTCTTATCTGCAAACTGCATGACAAAGTAGTAGAATGGCGTTCTTTTGAGGCATCGGATATGGGCTGGCCTTAGAGATATGTCATTGAAGAAAGTGATGGTTGAGGTGAGGGTCGATCTGTACTGCTTTATATACCCCAATTCTTCTCTTTGTTCTTTAATCACCTGCTTTGTTTGCACTGCATCAGGAAAAATGCATACATCAGTATACAAACAACAATGTAGTCAACTAGATACACTTAAATTAAGTATACAATACAAATAAACAAAAGTTCAGTAATGTACAAAATATAGTTGTCTAAATCAAGCACTTACTATTTTGCCTGTATACCTAGATTTACTATGATGTTGTTTGCCAGTTGGCCTATCAAGCAATTTTTACACTCATGTCAAGTCAGGTAGTAGACTCAAGGCCATTTTTTGCAAAATGTAAATTAAGATGAACACTATATGAGATAAAATCCATGTTTTAGCACACTGTCAAATTTCAAATAATGAAATGTAATGTAGTGAACTGTAATGTAGTGAACTGTAAATGTAGTGAACTGTATAAATTAAACTAGGTAGTGAACACTTTTTAGAAGACATCATAATATTGCGAACTATATGGATTAAACTAAGTTTGACATAAATCCATGTTTTTGCACACTGTTAAATGTTCAGTAGTTGTCTAACTTAAGCAGTTACTATTTTTTTGCACACCAGATTACTATGATTTTGTTTGCCAGTTGGTCTTCCAAGCAATTTTCACAGTACATGTTTGGTAGTAGACTCAGTGCCATTTTTTTAGAAACTGTAAACACCACTACTACAAAACAGAATTTAGTGCACTATATGTTTTGGACGCTGTCAAATTCAGATAATGTAGTGAACTATATTGTATACACTAAGTAGTGAACCTATCCTAATACACAACATTATGTAGTAAACTATATGGATTAAACTAAGTTTACAATAAAACCATGTGTTTTGCACACTGTCAAATTTCAGATAATACAGTAAACTATAATGTAGTGAACTTTATGTAGTAAATTAAGTAGTGAATACATCTTAGTAGACATCAAAATGTAGTGAACTATATGTATTGAACTAAGTTTACAATGCACTCAGAAACAAGTTGACTCTAAGTTTACAAAGCAGTTGACAGTTAATCATGTGTCTTAATGAACTAACATACAAAGAATATAAGTGGCTTAGATATCAAATTGACTTAATTATGGTTACTGCAAACGAGCTGACCCTGAGTTTCTGCAGCAGTTAACTATTAATCAATTGTATAGTATACTGAATGGTGTACTCATACAGACTATATTTCAGTGCAAATGTCTAACGTAGATCAACACATTTTTTTGTACAACGCATACATAGGAATGTAATCAACTACACAGTTCAACTACAACGCCACCCACAATGTTTTTAGATTCATAATTATGCAGTCAAATACAATGCCCTAAAAAAATAGTTCAATTGGAAACCAATGTGCATAAATTATTACCAGCGTTTAGATGCACTAAGTCAACTTTCATTTTGTTATGTGGCGTTCCTGGGAAAAGAAATAAAACATAGATTATTTTTTTTGTACAACTATACAAATGAAGTCAACTACCAGTATGGAAGATTTGTTAATACCTCTATTCGTGTTTTTCTCTCCCAATCGTTTCTTTGATTTTGGTTTTCACAGAAATTAATGAAAATTTCAGTGGCCATGTATGAAACATAACAAAAGTAAGCAAAATTGGTATGAAATTTGCAACAAATCGAAGTGAAATTGATTGTCGATTTCAGACTTACCTTCGCATACGGTTTCTGTAGGAGTCTTCGATTTATCGTCCGGAGTCGCTGATAATGGTGTCAGGAAGAAAAATTGTGGGGTAAATGCACAAAATTAGGTCAATAAAAGTCGGTGATAGAGATGGGTGTATAGCAAACTACTTGTCTTCTTCTTTCCGTTCTTCACCATTGTTTGTCAACCTGTGTTGCTAAACGAATTGCACAATATAATGGTATTCTGGTTTTTATTTTTCTCTGAAGATGTAGCAAACTAGGGCAATGTTCGAAAGGGGAAAATATCCGATATATATTGCAGTTTGTTTTTTGGGCGATTTTCTCGGCATAAATATAGCAGACCAACGGAAATGGGGGAGAAATTATATTGAAGAAAATGGTTGAAGATATGTTGTATTTGGGAAAAACGGTGGGGGGGGGGGGGGTCTTTGCTAGTACAAATTATAGGGGTAGTTCAGTTGTTGACATTTATGAGGGGGTTTGACCCATTAAAAATATTGTAGGGTGGTTAGTCCTAATATTTTTTTCTAATGAGGGGGTTATATCTTATTAACCCTAAATAATAAGATATGTTTATGTTTTTAATTGATTCATATTTTTAGGAATCGGATTTAAGGATCTAGGTCAAGAAATATAGATTTCAATAAACCCTAGTTTGATTTCCTGATTCGTAGCCTCAGATTCCAGTGCATGATTCATCGCTGATTTATTTTCTATAAATTATTAAATTACTTACGCGTGTAGATGATTCCGTTATCTTTGTTTTGACATATGGTATGCGTAATTTGGAATTATATTGATCAAGTTATGAACTGTTTTTTGAAACTGCACGATTTCTGAGTCATCTATGAATTATGTGTTGAATTAGATTTTATCTTGTTCCGATTCATGAAATTCCAACTGGATATTATTGTAGACTTATAAATCTGATTTTTCGTGAAATTTTGATGGTGTTTCGTTGAAAGAATGATTTATTTGGTATTTTTAAAGTTGAATGCTCTGTTCTGAAATTCTGCTGATGTTGCTGTACTAAATTAACTATTCCTCTTCCATGGATGGGTAATTTACTGAACTGTTTTACTATGGTATAAATCACATAATGTAAACGTTGTGTTAAAATTTCATAATGTTTGTAAGCATGGTTTAATATATATGAATTTTCAAATTTGAAGTACCAAAGCTGCCAGATTTTCTAAAATAATATTAGATTATCGGGTGTTGCTCACGGTTATACGAGATTTATTTGTCGTGGATCCAGGTATACTGAATATTATGTACTTTGATTGCATATTTGGTGATGAGATACTAGAGAACAAATGAAGACTCAATTTCGGGTGATATGTATTTATTAAAGAACATTTAATTATGCTAAGCTAATCTGTACATTTTATGGATAAGTTTAATGTTTAGCATCTATTTATGCCCTTATTTATTTGAAATTTGTCTTATGGACATTGAACAACAAGTTTACAGTATTTTGATCAAAATTAGACATAACATCATATGAGGGTATGTTAAGTAAATTTATTGGTTGGACGATATTGAGTTAGTATTTGGTAATGTATTGATCAAATCGTTACGATTGTTGCTAAATATACTTAATTTTTGTTCTCTCTTTTATTAATGCAAGGACCAGGTTTTTTTGACATGCATAAATTTGAACAAATCAACACTCTTACTTCAGATGGAGCTGACATAGAAAGTAGTATTAGCTTACCGGGTGTTGCTCATGATTATATGAGAATTATTTGTCGTGGATCCAGGTGTGGATCCAGGTATACCGAGTGTACGTTATGTAAAAATGAACCATAAAATTTGTCAAAATTCTTTCTCTACTTCTATTGATTGTGGATAAATTCTTTATATTAGGTGACTAGGTTGGTGGTCAATTGATGAAGGGAGTTGGGAGGAGCAAGTTAAGCTATATTGTGGATTGGGATCTAGGTGAGTTTTCTGAAATCAAAGTTCTGATCCATTTCATGCAATATTTCGTATTAATTGTTTTTTAAGCTTCTTCAATTATTATATGAGGTAGAACAAATGAATTACAATTTCCGTCCTAACTAATAATTCTCAGGCAATGCATCACATTAAACACATGGACTGGACGAGGTAAGTAGCTACTTATGCAAGAGCCCAGAAACATTATTGAATTATGAGTGCTACTAAGTGACAAATGATTGAAATTGATTCTATCATATGATTTCTTATTTTCTATTTGAATTTTTTTTCCCTTTTTTAGGTTGGACTGTTTGATGAAGTGAAAGAACGTTATCGTGGAAGTCATATTTGTTGTCGCTTAACAATTTATAAGGTGGAATTTATTATGAAA